GGGGGGGAGCAAAAGCGCCCGCCGGGAGCGCGCGGCGGAGGCCGGGGCGGCCGCTCTCCTCTCCCGTGTGGGGTTTTTCCCCTCTCACCTGAGACGCGGGAGCCCCCGAAGGGCTGCTGGGCCACGACGGCGCCCGTCGACTTGTCGTTGATGTAGAAGTTGCCGGCGGCGTTCCGCAGGCGCCTCCGCGCTTCCTCGATGGCGCTCCTGCGAGGAACAAAAACAGCTGGGTCAGCAAGGTGCATGGAGCACCCTCGTGCAAAGTGCCTCCCAAAGATTGCCCAGAAAACAGCTTAAATAATTGCAACTGCATATTTTTTTTCCAGTTACTCTCCTGCATTTAAGTGTTTTGCTACGAGGTAAAGCTAACTCTATGTACATGCAAAAGCCAAGCTAAGTTAAAAATCATCAAGTCTAACAAATTTTATTCCTCTTAACCACTTGTTTCTTTAAAAAGAAGAAATTAAAGCCTCATCATTTCTGCTTCACACTCAGCCGAGATTTTTCCCTGAAAAAAAGCAGCACAAAAGACTGCCCTGGCTCCAGGCAGCGCTCAGGAAGGCCAGCAGCTGGAGGTGCATCCTCCCAGACGCTCTGGCCCTGGTTTCCCATCCCAAAAAAGCCCATTGGGAGCAGGCAGCCCTCTCCTTCCCGCCGGAGCTGCAGGAGAGCAGCAGGGAAAGGACGAGCGGATTTGGGACTCACTTCTCCCGAGCAAAGACTGCCCCCGTGAGGCCGTAGGGCGTCGTGGTGTCGACGAGCTCCAGCACGTCCTGGAAGCGCTTCTCGGGGTACACGAACACCGTGAGGATGGGCCCAAAGATCTCCTGAGGATGCGGAGGAGTCAGAGCGCGGCCCCGCGCACCCAGGGCTGCAGCGAGGGGGACGCAGCGGCGCCCCACTAGCTCGAGAGGGCCAAGCGCTCCAAATACAATCCCGGAACACCAGATTCTACGTCTAGGACACTTTCTCAGCAAAAATAAAATAAATAAGGCACTTTTCACTGTTTGAAACTGCCATAAGAGGAGCAGTCGCTGCACTACAGATGCCGGGCCAGGTATGAAGGATTCCATGGTAAGGGACACGGGAACACAGTGAGGAGGAGTGTGGTGTTCGGGCAGCCCTTCACGCTTACACTGCTCTCCCTGCTGCTCTTGCAGGGCTGGGAGCCAGAGCTACAGTCCTGGATGCTCCAAACCTTAGGCAGATGATGCTTTCCCACCAGGAAAAGTATTTTTCAAGAGGGGTAGTGCCAAAGGGATGCAGCACTTTGGGAATGCGACATGCCCCGTGTCGCCAGTGCCAAGATCCGGACTAATCATTGACCATGAGGGCGCTGCTCCCCAGCAGAGGCAGGACACGGCGCTCACCTTGTCATCGATCACCGCCGAGAAGAAGGTCCCAAAGTCCTGGGCAGGCTGTGGGAGGAGGAGAGGAGACCCTGCTGATGGCAGCTCCCAAACGAGGGCGCCGGGACTCCCGGACGGTCCCTTCCCGCTCCGCGCGCAGCCCTGCGCGGGGACACCCCCACCTTTTCAATTACCCCGCGCTATTCAGCCGCTTGCACAATCCGTCCTGCGGACCAGGCTACAAGTTAATTTCTAATCACTAAAAAAAAGATGACGAGGCTGGGGGT